TATCCAGATCCTGTTCACCTAACATAGATACCAATCGGCTGAGCGCATCCCTGGTACTGCGATTTCTGAGGCGCCGTTCTGGGGTTCTGCTGGGACTTAACCATATGAGATTTTCGCCACCTGTGGCTAGAACCTTTCGAGACAAATTCTGCTGAATGTTGTAGAAGCGATCCCTCGCCGTCATGAAGTCCTTCTGCACAAGATGCACATTTGCATTCTTGGAACGCTTACCATAGATCAGCATTTGGTCAATTTCCTGCTGGAAGGGTTTGAAAAGCTTCCACACGTCTTCCTCGATGAGACCTCGCTTGGAATCCTTACGCCAACCACCAACGATGATATGATTGAAGTCTGTGTCCATGGTTTGCCTAGGAGGAGCAGGACGAGGAGCAGGACGAGGATCTACACCACGAGGAGGGGACGGATCGAGGCGGTCAACACGAGCATCAGCACTGTGAGAGGCAAAGCTTCCCACATCATTCCTCCGATTGGCTTGTAAATTGGCCACAACACGAGACAAATCCGCCACCTGATTTTCAAGTTGTGCAATCCGGGGGTCTGGTTGTCTTTGCAGTGTCTCAATATGATTCAAGCGTGATGACATTGAAGCCATGTTAGCGTTGATGGCACCAAACTGGGTTTCAATAGAGTTCTGGAGTGAAAGAACCCATGGCGGCGTTTCTTCCATCCGACGTCTAGCGAGCATGTCATCAAGCAAATCATCAGGGTTCCTGCTGCTCGATTCTAACTTGGGTCTTTTGTCTTGGTAGCCGGAACCTCTTAACGAATGAGGATCAAGCAGATCATCGTCATCGTCAACAGGAACAACTGCAGTTTGCGCTGAATCGACCATCAAAACACACAGCAAAGGAGTAGCACTATTCCCAGATCCTGAAAACCTCGGGCCGACACACTTGAGCCAAAATGGCTACGAACCCTGAACCCTAAAACCCTAAACCCAAACCTTTGCCTCAAGCTCGGCCTGACAGTGCCTGAGCAGCTCTAAGGGTGATCCGCACCAAAGGCACCCAGACCCCTTAAAGGATTCTTTAAGGGTTTAGGGTTTCCCCCAAACAATGACACCCATTACTACACTGGGAAAACTAATGGATTATTGGGAGGTTCGATTTTTTTGGATCACTTAGGGGGTCTGGGTATTTGATAACCAGGGCTCCCTTCCCCACCTCCATGCTGACCTCATGCTACGGTTTAGGGTTTAGGATGGTTTAGGGTTGGGTTCCCTTACCCCACCTCCACACTTTCCCCCCTGCGATTCCATCTTACTTGCAGCTATCTAGGGATGCATTCACGCAAATTAAAAGGGAACCCAGGGGTAGTATCAGAGCGGTGGTAAGCAAAACCCATGATAACCGGGGTGCCGTGCTGTACAAGCAGTGCTCATCCATCTGCACAGGTATGCTTTTTTACAGGACTTACAGAAACCACCAAGTGGAAGGGAGAGAATCCTAGGGTCCCAAGGGGGCCCCCATTTAGCAACCCCCAGAAAAAGGGACTTCTAGGGACCATTAAATGCTCTCTTTCTCCATATATATGTATATCTATACTAGAAATTATTACTAGTAGTGCTTATTTGGGGCTTATTTGGGGCTTATTTGGGTCTTGTTTTGGGGTTGACCCTGTCATAGAAGCCAAAGACCATCCTTCAACAGGACCTGAAACCATGACTCCGGCTTCGGATTTAAGGGCCCGTCTACTGTAGAAGCCTGGACATTGGTGTTAGATTCCGGGTATAAGTAGCATCCCAAACGCAGCTCGAAATGGACTTGCTAGCTATTTAGGCTATTCCTGAACCTCAAAACCCTTGTCAGTCAACCAGTCCCAGGTGCGCAGTACTTGTTGCTGGCCACGAGGGTGAAGTAAAACGTTGTTGTCATTGTTGTCTCCTTAGCTTCAGTTACTGGACCCAGTAACAGTCTATAATGCTTGGTCATATTAAGGGCTCTATATATTTATGTATGTATACACATTATGATTATGATGATTATCTAACTGTTACTAAGTGGGGGCCAAGTCCTCCCTAAATCCTAACCCCTAAACCCTAAAACCTCAATTCTGAGCCTTCACCCCCAAAAATCCTGAGCACTGAATTCTACGAAACCTAAACCCCGGATCTCTGTGTACCCAGAGAGCCGAATATATACATGTATGTGTATATCTATATGCATATTATATACATATATATGAGTGTGTACATGTTGCTTAATTCATCAATGCATATACCCTACGTCATGTTAGGGCGCCTAGTAGCATTTAGGGTATATTCCTTCGGTAAACGATACTGGAACCCTAATCCCTAAACCCTGTGATCCTCTATCAATAGCCCAAATCCCTGAAGCCTAAAGCCCCAAACCCTTAAACCCTAAATCCTGACCCTAGCCTCTGAATACCTAAACCCTGAACCTAAGTGCATGCACGGCGTCTCCTTCCTGACCTTCTGCGGGCGACAAGAGGCTCGCTGCATTCGTCCTCAGCGCAGCCGGCGGGGGTGTAGGGAGACAGGGTTATGCACGATCCAAGGGCTAGGGGGGGCTAAGAACTTCAGGCTTTCAGGTTTAGTAGCTTCACTATGCAGGGGCTTTGGGTTCAGGTGCCTACTTGCAATACGAGCTCGAAGGCAAACCCTCAGACCTCCACCAGGACTCTCTAGACCAAACATGGAAGCTGCGGGGACTGCGTGAAGAACATATGTCCCTCGGAAGCCTTTGAGTCGGAAGGAGCCCCATCCTCGAACAAAAGTCTTGACTCATGCTCCAACCCCTTCTTTGCACGGGCAAGAATCAGAAACGCCTCCTCTGTGCCTTGGCTGAATCCCCCTCTACACTCCAGGGCTGATGGAAACTGACCAAGGGTCTTCCGCTGAGTTCTGTGTGCGCTGTGAGACTTTTTCTCTGCATGCGCCGGCTTTGCAGATGCCTTTGCAAGTGGCTAGGTTGTGGAGGGGCGCCCCTTCAAAAGGATCTTTGCTAAAAGGTCTATCAGAGCTGTTCTGAAGCACAAGTGTTGGGCTGTGGAATGTTCTTGACTTTCCTGCGCTAGCACGTCAATCCCTGTAAACTAGAGCGCCCAAAGTGCTGTTCCAAGGCCCTGAAGGAGCCCTGTGTCAAAGTGTCCAGACTTGTCCCTAAGCTCGTACCACTAAAAGGCCCCAATACAGCCCTCGCATAAACAAATGTCATTCGCCAGAGTTCCTTCAAAGGGTAAGGGTACAATCCTAATCCTGAAGCACTTCATGTTTAGGCTTCCCTTGCCAAGCTTAAAACCCTATAGGCCTTGGCCGTCGCCTTTGCTGCTGGCTGCTTCTCCACACCTGTGTTAGCCACTGCACATACAAAGCTCAGGGTTTTGGGGTACAGGGCTTGGGTTTGTCAAAGTGCAAACTTTCTTGGTGCCTCACGGCTGCATGTGGGTGCCAGCGGTTTACTGCGGTCTCTCCTAGGCAACCTGATCTCTAGCATCTATAGAATTTACGACACTCCCTTAACCCTGAACCCTAGAAAGCTTCTTGTGCGCCCAACCCTCCACAGAACCTTGCTGCTGCATTACAGACTGCAGGCTTTCTATCTGCTACCCATAGGGTTTAGGGCGTGAGGTTTAGGGTTTTCCGTGTACGAAGACATCACAAAAACATACAAAAACAATCTCATTGTGGGGCCACATTGCTGAGGCGCCCCGGAACTACTCATGTGAAATCATGCTGAAATACATGCCTAAACCATACGCCCTAAACTTTATTTAAACCCTAGACCCTCAACCCGGGGGGTCTCATGCACCGGTCGAATACCGTACTAAGGGTTCTCCTTATAACTCCTGTTGCACCGCACAAGAACCCACCTCTCAACAAGGCTTACTACTGGTTCGAAATCAGGGAATACAATCCCCACATATTATATGGAAATATATTATATAGGGGGCTGTATAAGGATTATACTCCCTTATTTCCTACTAGCTACAAGTAAGCCAGGGCAATCCCTAAACCCCTCCTCCTTTGCAACTTTGCTTGCATGCTGCAAGTCTAGCTTCAAAGAATAGGAAGGTGTGGGTTTAGGGCTTGGGAGTTTAGGCTTTTAAGGTTCAGGAATGCACCTTTGCCCCGCTCATTGCAGTGAGTTGCTGTGCTTGCTGCCGCTGGTGTGCGTGGAGGCTGCCTTCGCCGAGGAAGTTTTCTGCCTTACAGCAACACAGACCCCATGAAGGATCCAAAAATGGAACCTCCACAAAATGACTCTGCACCCTAAACCCTTACTCCTAAACCCTGAACCCTTTACTTTATTGGAGAAGCTAGAGGATTATTGGGAAGTTCCTTTTTGGGGATGCTTTCAGGGCCCACTTTGAAAGCGCAAAGGCGTTGCCTCATGTCTGTTGGTTCAAGCTTCTTGTTTGATGTTACTCATCTGGGTGCCTCGCAACAAACGGGCAAACCTAAGCCAGAATATGCTTGTTATTTATTTAGGCCCCCTTATACTCCTATGATACTACTATAACAGGGTGGGTCCACCAAGGAGAAAAGGCTCACAAACACAACACACCCAACATATGCGGACCCACCAATACTCATTGCTTTCGGGCACAGAACTTATGAGCCAGAGTCTAAACTCCTAGTGTCGCCCCTAATACCCCCTATAGTAATGTAGTAGTCTCCTTTTTTAATCCCCATATAACCCCGTTTAAGGAGTTCAGACTAATTATAGTTCATATAGCCCTTCTATAACCCTATATTTATATATACATATAGCAGTTTCTATTTCATCTCCATTTTCTTGTCCATTTGATTCTCAACCCCCTTTTCATGAAGAACCCTTACCTCAATAATGGGGAAGCAAGATACTTCTCAGCTTTGCCGTGCGATGTGTCGCGCGCTGCCGCTGCTGGCACGGGATGGCCTTCTGAGTGTTGTTTGGGTTTACAGTAACTCAAACTCTACTGATATCTAGACAGGCTACACCGACAGCTTTGGCTGAAGTATTTGGGAATTTCTCAACATGGAAGACCTCAGAGAATCTGGTATATGTTGGGATTCTAACGGGATTCCGGGTCCCTACGAGGGCTTCGACAGGGGTTCTTGGGCGAAAAAGGGAACATTTAAAGCCCGAAAAAACCGAGCAACCAAGCATCAACAGCATAGTCTGAACCCCTAGTTTCCCCCCTAATAACCCCTATAGCAGCCTCTAGATCATCACCTATATAACCCCCTTTAAGAAGCTTAGACTACAGCTCACCTGGGGCTCCACATCAGTTTGCTGGAGGGCAAGCCTTGAACTCTATCCAAAAGACCTATATATGCGCTGACCCTGAACCAGGTGCCGAAAAGCTCTAACCCTCGTGGCAGTAGCTGAAACCTCTAAAGCTCGTCGGGAACACCCTACAGCCAGAACCCCCCAAGGACTCCCTATACTCAAAAGCCCAAACCCTAAAAACACTTAGTTCTCAACCCTTTGAGCCTCAAACCCTAACTCCTTAAACCCTGAAATCATGGTTTAGGGTTTAGGGTATATAGGGCCTCAAACCCTACATCCGGAACCCTCAAACCCTGAAGGAGGACATGCCTGCACTTTTCGCTGTCTTGGCTTTGGCCTTGTGGGGTCCGGAGCCTGCGGTGAAGCCTGACCAGTGGTTTACCTACAGGGTACCACGTAGGGGTTTGATTTTCACTAAACTCTAAGGGTTTAGATTTTGGGGGTTAATAGTCCCCCTTGAGTAGATAGAATATGGGGTATATGGGGATCTGATTTTAAACTACCTCAAGCCATATTTTATCTACTTAAGGGGGGCGATAAACCTTTGGACTCTCAGAACCGCAAGTCTGGCAACGGAACCCAAACCCGGTCGCTGATGAGGCTATCCCATACTAGCAGCTTGACTAAAGCAGGAACGCAGACAGACCCCTGGGAGGATCTGAAAGCTAGCGCCCCTATATAAACCTTTAATAACTATAAACTACTATCCTCTAAATACCTCCCCACACTATTATAGGTTGTCTATTTTTGAGATGATTCTGAGGGTCTGGGAAGCAAGGCAATCCAATATGATAATTCCAGAAAGCAGGAAAAGGGCCGCATTCGGCCTCTGTATTAGAATATTTCAAGTTACAGGAGCTGTATTCACAAAGCCAACTAGTGTCTAAATCCTGTCCGACAAAGCCTTGCCTGACCCCTCAAAGACGGAATATCTATAGTCCCCTTAAGTAGATAGAAAAGGGTGGATATGGGGATCTTACTATAATATAGCCAAAGCCATATTCTATCTACTTAAGGGGGACTTTGGGGCTTCCAACAAGTGGGATTTCTACCCCACTACGATAGGGCTGTGCACTGCGCACCTGCAACACAGACCCAAAAGACGTGGCTTGAGCGCTTATTACTCTCTTTCTGGTATGGTGCAGTTACAAGCGGCAATCTAATGAGATTCTCAGGACGAAACAGACCTGCGAACCTGGAAAACAAACGATATCGAGCCTTCCATCTCAACGGAACTCATTCGTTCGTCACTTTCAGCATCTTGCTCATCCGTGTCTGCATCGTCGTGTCCTCCTCCTTTGTAAGCTCCCATTCACTAGGACATCTGGCAACACTTCTAGTAGCGACACATCTGACAACCGAACCCGTAATCGCGCACAACATGTACCAGCATGGTGCTATAGCCACTGTAGTAGAGAGCATTGTCGGTAGATAATCAAAGCTTTGAGCCCCTCCTCCTCTACATCAACTTCCTCGTTGCTGTCATCATCCTTCTTGTCGTTGTTGCTGTCGGAGTCCTTCTTCTTGTCGTCGATGTCGGTGTTCTTCTTCTTGTCCTCGATACCGGTGTCTTTCTTCTTGTCCTGTGCGCAGCTCTCACCCCTCTTGGACGTTGTTGGAACCTGATTGAAGTTTACATAGGTCCTTAGGTTGACAACCAGATAACTCCATCCTGGGTTGATCCGGTACAGGTCTTGCAGCAGCACCACATTCGTCAACAACCCACACCCTTTACCAAAACAACTTTCGAGAGCAGAAATTTCCCAAGAAATGAACTTTATAACAACTACGAGGCCAAGGGGGCATTATTACAACCTATTCCGCCCTAGCCAAACACATTTGAATGAGGTCTACCATGGGCTTATTTGGACACGCGCTACGTTTTCACGGATTTTCATTTCGAGGACCACGCTGCTAGACAGGGTGCTTAGGGACTGCTTCCACAAAACCACGCCCGGGCTACTGCTGACGGCAAAGATACCGCATAACCCTGTGTACCTTCTAATTATGTTGTGAATTGTGGTTTTGTACGGGACTAAGGTCATGCAGGATTTTTAACCGCGCTAAAAACTAAACCCTATTCCTTGCGCCTCTCAACCTTGATTGCAGGGAAGCAGGTCCCAGGGACATGGTCTATGAGTCATATGATAACCATAGGGTCCCAATTTTGGGTGTTTGGGTAACCAAAACCACCAGAATGGGGAGCCTACAAGTGTCCCATTCTGATGCTAAGGTCCTATTTTGGAATGTTGGAGTTACTAAAGCCCCCTTACTAACCCTTTGATGGAGTCATTACCTCCCAACCCTAAACATTCTATTCCGAGCCCAGCCATATCCAAAGCCGTCAAAAACAAGGGCTTCACCTACACCGAGACCCTAAACCCAAAGCCCAAATCCTACATGACCGAAAATACCCCTATATCATCTCGCCCCCCACACCCAATCTCCTATAGTCCCCATTAAGAAGATAGAATATGGTTTTTGGTATATTATGATAAGATCCCCATAGACCCCATTTTCTATCTACTTAGGGGGGAGTATAAACCCTGAACCCCAAATAGTAATTTCCATTTTCTTTTCCATTATCCCTATATAACCCCTATAGCCCCCATATTCTATCTGCTTAAAGGGACTATAAGCCCTAAACCCTCAACCCCATATTCTATGTACTTAACGGGGACTATGAGCCCTAAATCCTGAACCCTATATTCTATCTACTTGAGGGGGACTATACACTCTAAACCCCTAAACCCCTAAACCCTAAACCCTAAACCCCTAAACCCCTAGACCCTAAACCCCAACCCCAAATGTTTCCTCCTTGCTGTCGTCAGGACTGCTCGTCTTCGAGCTTCGCGTCGCAAGCTCCGACTCCTCCTCTCCCTGCTGATTTAGGTTTAGGGTTTAAGGCTTAAGGTTTAGGGCTTAAGGCTTAAGGTTTAGGGTTTTAGGGTTTAGGGTTTTAGGGTGTTGGGGTTTAAGGTTTTAGGGTTTAGGGTTTTAGGGTTTGGGGTTTAGGGTTTAGGGCTTAGGGTTCAGGGACTGAAGGAGTGGAAAAGATCATGGAAAGCACTCGAAGCTCATGATTGTTATGTAGGGTTTCCACTGCATCCTTTAGGGCTCCTAGTTGTCGTCTGGAATGGAAGTTCATGTGAAAAAGCAAGTGGACAATGGCTGTTTAGGGCTTAGGAAATGGAAAGCCTGATAGAAATTCTCAGCTTTGGTCTTAAACTGCCTCATAGCGGAACATCAAACGGAAACTGGGGTTTAAGGGTTTAAGGTTAGCTTTCGGGTGGCTGGTAAGGAATGACGGAATGGAAAAGAAACTGAAACTACTAGACTGTTTTCTGTAGGGTCTAGGGTTAAGGGCAGACTATACTGAAAAGGGCCTAGGGCTTAGGAAAAGGATAGAACATGGCAACTGCTGTGTCATTGGGGATTACATAGGGGCTACTGCAGGATCAGTCCCGCCATTCCCTAGTAGCAGCACCAATGAGGTAGCGCTTTTCTCAAAACATGAGGTGCCCTAAAGTCCTCTTAACTAGCTTGTACGGATGTACAGGGTTTATGCATACCGTTTTGTATGGGGAGTAAACAGAGGAGCCTGCATAACTGAATTACGGAGATCAACAAAAAGAAAGGTGAACTGGGATTTTCATTAGACAATATACCGAAATGAGTATAGGACTTGTATTGAGGGGCTACAAAGATGGGCATGTTGTCCCTAAGCCCTATACCCTAAACCCTGAACCCTAGAACAAAGGGTCCCTCTTTAACGTGCCTCGGCGGCCGCCAGACGAGTGCCTAAAAATACCCTAAACCCTATAGTCCCCTTAAGTAGATAGAATATAAGGGTTAGATAAGGATAATGGAAAAGAAAATGGAAACTACTATTTAGGGTTTAGGGTTTATACTCCCCGTCAAGTAGATAGAATATGGGGTCTATGGGATCTTATTATAATATGCCCAGAGCCATATTCTATCTACTTAACTGAGTTGGCACCTAAAACCCTTTGAAACATGTTAGTATATAGGGTCCCTTATTTAAGCCATTAGGGAAAATATCAAATATCCCGGGGGCCTACCCAGTTTAAGGGGACTATAAGCCCTGAACCCGTTTTCTGCAAGAGGCTTGCAAGCATCTTCGACGGCATCGGGCTTTTCATGTTCACCCCTGGGTGCGTTATTCAACCCTGAACCCGAAACACCCTGAACCCTAAACCCTGAACCCTAAACACCCTGAACCCTAAACACCCTGAACCCTAAACCCTGAACCCTAAACCCTGAACACCCTGAACACTACACCCTGAACCCCCTGAACCCTGAACCTAAAGCCTTTTCAGGTGTCTCGGCTCGGGGTCCCGGTAATCCCTTCCCCCCCTACATTCAAACCACCCACCCCCCCCCAAATATTGAATATACCCATCATGGTGTACTATTGTATATTGGGAAATTGGTGTGTTTTTTAATGTTACAGGGGGAGGGGATTAGTGTCGAGATCAACCCCCATTAAAAGAAAAATAACTCCTAGCGCCAAGAGAACTGAGGGAATGTTAAAGCGCAGACGTCTACTTTTACTTTTCCACACCCCAGTTTTGAAGATCATCAGTTAGAGGAGTTGTAATATGAATGCACCAGACACCGTGTTC